GACAGAGAATTGAAAACATGAGCTCGTAGGTTTGAGACTGCTGCTGTTACACAGGAGTTAAGAGAGCACTAGACTTGAGTGATTTTTAAGCCTAAAAAAATTATCCAAGTGCTAGAATGAAATATTCTTTGTCCTTGACAATTTAGGCATGGTGACAATGAAAAATTTGTATTCAGTAATCATGAGTCTGTAACAAATATGATTGCTAGACAAGCCTAACATCGGGAGTATCGTAATCGTCTACTTTAGCTCAATTAAACTAAATCATTACTTTGAAACTAATGCCCTCAGAACAGAATAGCTATCTGCTGTTCATGTTTAATAATTTTCATTTAAGAAGTTGACTAAGTTACGTCTGTAGATTTTTGTTTTCCAAAATAAGAGAATTACTTAAAAAGGATAAATGCTGTCAGTTATTCCACTTCCATTGTAGGTTGAAGGTGGAGATTGTATTAGTGGAAACAATTTGATGACAGAGCATCTAAAATGTTTTAATTTTTAAAGGAGGTCTTATAGAAAAAATATGACCTGTCACATAGAATAATTTTAGATGCACCTGTTGAAGGCTAACCACAATGCAAATAATACCAAAGTGTTCCATGGGTATTTAAGTATATTAGGTAAATAGCATTAATAATTCCACAAATTATAATTGTTTAATAACATTATGAAATTTCTCTAGCTTAAAGTCTAATTTTTAAGAAACAAAAAAAAATTTAAGTATATGGATGTATAGCTAACTTATTTGATTGGCTCAACTGGGAATTAATAAGTAAATTTGATCTAGACAGTGGTCAGGTTGAATGATTTTTTTTTTTTTGAATCAACTATTATTTCCAAGTTGCCATGATTTATGCCTGAGCAGTAAAGGGGGCTGATTTCATCCTTACCATTACAATGCATTAGACTAAGAGAATTAGAAGCTAATATTTGCCTTTCATATGTGATGATCTCACAGTGTGAAAGAAACCATGAGATTTGCAGCTGGTGAAATTAAGATCTCACTGCTTAAATGCTTAAATTTAATAGACTGCCACAGATGAATAGTCCTTGTCCAAAGTCACTATAATCATGATATAAAAGAGAGATTTTATGACTTTGAGGTAGCAGCAAATGTAAGGCAGAATGTATCTTCTTTGCTTTTTGTCTTTTCTGTAGTTTTGGATGGTATTCATTATGTGCTTAACTAACACTGTTTATTGTATGCTTCTGTCTGATCGAGTGCATGTTTTAAAAAGACAGTTACTGTTTGCCCGCTTAAAGTTAAATGTTATAAATTTAAACATGTTCATGTAATAATCAGTTTGTTGAGCATGTGTTCACACCCTGTCACATGATTATTTCCTCTACTCAGAATGCTGCTTACAAACACAACACAGTTAACCTTGGCATGCTGCCCTATGGAGGTATTTCAGCAATGCATGCAGGCAGAAGCATGACTTTAAACTTGCAGACTAAGTCTAAATTTGATCATCAAGAACTACCTCTTCAGAAAGTAAGTATGGACTGCCCTACATGTGTCAGCATACCAAAGCCAATTAATGTTGTTTGTTCACTTGATGTGTCTAGGCTGTACGTAAAACTCTGCTTATTACAGACTCTCATGAGTCCAAAAAGCACAAAGGCAAATAACATAGAGCCTGAACTCTTAGTTTCTAAATGAATATTTGTAGCTACACTGATTATCAGGTTCCTGCTTTTTGGACTAAGCTTTGCTTTTTGGATTGAGCAGATACATGGCTTTTTATGTTGCTTTAAGACTCATCTTTCTCATTATTTGTTTCCCTTTTCTTCCTTGTTCTTTTTTTCTTTTGTTTATATATATATATATATATACATATAATTTTTTTATTTTTATTTTTTTAGAGATACCCTAGCTTCTTTTGGTGATGCATTCTGAAAACAAAGCTGGAAAATGATCAATATTATTGAATTTCAGTTGATTCCTTTGGAAAAGGCAAAGACTTTTACATTAAAATGGAAATTAAATGGTTGGGACTTCTAAATGCTTCTTCAGCCCATTTTCTTTGTAAGAATTATAACACGGAAGGAAAATAAGAATAACAACTTTGTGGCTTACCTAGAAAATTGTTACTCTTCCTAGGTTAATGGAAAAGTAGCAGGTTTGCATGGTTTTCAATGAAAATGTAGGTAAATTTAAAAGGGAATATACTGTAAGAAGAAACATTTGCACTGTCAAAGGAATATTTTTGCTTGCTTTATCCAGGCGAAACTGAGAATGTACATTTTACCTGTTAAAATTGGTTAATGCGGTCTGTCTTAGTTATATTTCAAAGGAGTCTAATGAGTCATTTTCACACCGTATGTCATTATGGATATATATTAATATAGTCATTAGCCTAGTAAGTTTTTATGAAAAAAGAAATGCAAAGTAGAGAGAGCAGAATGACAGTATCTCCAAACACTTTAAACACTTCTCTGTTAATGAAACTAATGAATATATGGAGCAAACTCCCATCCCAGCAAAATGAGGGTCATAAGACCTCTAATTCATGCTTTATTATCTAATTAGTTTTTAATAATATTCCCAGACTCTGGATAGTTTGATTCTTACTGTCAGTAGAGTTACAAAATCAAAGAGACATTTATATCCACAGCTTTTTCCATCACTCACTATCACTTAAGAAAGAAAAAAAAAAAACTAAGTTGAAAACTATTGAATGCTGTTTATCCTGTCCTCAGTCTCTCGTTGCAGGACCAGTGATGTGCTGGTAACTTTCTCTCCAGGGAGAAAAATAAGACCCTGATTTGCCAGTATTAGTGATATAAATATTCCCACTATGGCCAATTTGTAGGTACCAATGTAATGTCACTGAACTTGGGATACATTCTTACAAGCCAGTACACGCTGGCTCTGGTTCACCATCAGCATGGCCCGTCCTACTTGAGTCTTTGCTTTCATGGAATCTTTTCTTCTTGTCCCTTCAAATGCTCAATGCTCTCATTCTCTCCATTACCAAAACCAGTTTTTAAAGTCTCAATATACATTTGCACCTAGGAATAGATGAAATATCATAACATAAATAGGTACTTCTGCTGGAGGACTTGGCAATTAAATAGAAATAAAGTTTTTAAATAAAAACAATGGAATTTCACAATTTACTGAGGTTAAGGAGATCTTAGTATGAATGAAGCTATTGTATAAATTATATCATGTGGAGAAATTTAAATCATATGGAGACTAATTTGGGGCCTTATTAACTCATCAATGCCATATCTGAAAAATAGTAATACACATGAAATGGTCTAAATCACGCTTTAAATTATTGTCTGAATTATTCTCTGATATAAATTGGGTACCACTGTATTGCTGTATTAATTTTTTGTTATCATTTGGGATACTGTAGAGAATGGATTCATTCTATATTACTCCAGCTCTAACAAGAGATGTATCAGGTATGCGCAGTTATATTTAGAGACTTTTCAACCATTCTCTGTTGGGCACAGAAATGACTGAAAGGAATTCTCTTTGGAAGCTGTATTAAGTTGAAAACCAAAAATAATTCAAGTATCTAAAGATCCCATTTCAAAATAAATTACCATCAATACTTTATTACACACACACACACACACACACACACAAAGCAGAAGAGAGAAGGCAAGAGATGTACAAAGTACACAGGAAGGGCAAGTATTGCATTATTCCATTACCATTACTAGTTTGAGGCCTATGCACATCAAACACTTCCATACTTGGGACAACAATCCCAACCCAGTCAGCAATGCAGAAACCTTTCAGACACTTGGTGATTAATCATTTTCAGGAATAGTTCCAACCTCTACTTCTGCCCTTGAATTTTTTTAAATAATTATTTTATTTAACTTTACTTATTATTATTATTAACATTATTATTTTCCAGTTTGATCAGAGAGAGTCAGAGGGAGATAGAGGAAGTGAGAAAGCAAGCCACCAGGTTCGAGACTTGAACTGTGGTCGGCTATGTGGGAGTCCAGCGCCTTTAACCACCATGCCACCTGCCGGCCCCTGCCCTTGAATTTTAAGGGCAGAATTATTGCCCTCAGAATTTTATGCCCAGATATGTCTCTTCTAAAGAGGTTTGATTTTAAAAATTTGCTTTTTTTTTTTCCTGTCAGGCTTAAGAATCAACCTCTCTGGGACCAGCAGTTGGCATAATGGCTATGTCGCTGGACTCCCACATAGTCGACCGCGGTTCAAGTCCCGGACCCAGTGGCTTAAACTCATGCGTGTGTGCTCAAGATCCCGAGAGGAGAATGGAGGAGAAGGGACTGCAGCGTGGCCATCCCCTCTGGGGGGTGATTTCTCGCTTTCTATCTCTCTGTCTCTCTCTGTCTGTCTGGCGAGCACATATGCCCTATAGCAAAAACCTCTCCAAAATAAAAAAGAATCAACCTCTCTTAAAATGCAGTCTCTTGGATCATTCTCTTTTGGTCCCACTAACCATTACTAACCCATCCTATGATTAAGGCTAAGTTTCACTTAGTCCTTTTCCCAACGAGAGGAGATAGGCAAAATTCATTTTTCTTTGATTTAGAAATGCTTAAAAATTGGGGCCAGTAGATGGCATGGAGGTTAAGGCAGCTGGAGCCCATATGGCTGACTTAGAGTCCAAGACCCGGCAACTTGCAAATCACACCGGGAGCATGTTTGTGAGTGCCCAATCCAGAAAGGAGAGTGGAAGAGAAGGAAATACAATGTGGCTATCCCCTCTGGAGGGTGATTTCTCATTTTTCTCTCTCCATACCTCTCTCTCTGGTAAGCACACAAGTCCTATAGCAAAACAAAAACAAACAAAACAGAAAACACAAAAAGCCAACATCAAAGAAAAGCATAAAAAATTGATTACAGTACTTTTGTCTTAATAAAAATTAGCATTTCAGGTATTTAAGATTCCTCTAAATGCTCATCAACCAGGAGAACTGCACTAAAACTGCAGGATAAAATCAATTCAAAAACAACCATTTTTAGTAAATGTAATTGACAAAGCTGTTGATTCGCCTGTGGAAGTTCCACAGCTGTCCCTTTTTATCCACGAAGTCTCTGAATGATTCCGATCATCTCCAGTTAAGTGCTGTAGCGATGTAGAAGGAATGAAGAGAGGAAGCCAAGTTAACCCTTCCACATACTAGGAGATGCGCCCTGGATGTGGAGAAGTAACATAGGTTAGTGCGGGTGACACCCCCCCATCCCCCAGGGAACAGAAGAGCTGAAATCCACACCCTGACTTTAGCCTCCAGGCTTGCCCAGCCTTTCCTCTTGCAGATAGGCAAAAGGAGCCCCTTTTTGTATTTCCTCTGCCACACTGAGACATAATCAACTAATTAAAGACTGTAACTACAGTCCTGTACCACATAACAGTGTTTGGGTCACGATGGACCACGTATGTAATGGCTATTCCGATGATTATAATAGGCTACACCATGTAGCTGAGGCAAATAGTAGGCTATTCACTCTCTGCTGTTTGCACAACCACAAAATTGCTGAATGAAGCACTTTTAAGAATTTATCCTATTGTCGTGATGCATGACTGTATTTGTGAATGAAAATTTAAGAGCTCTACAGACTTGATAAAGTTTTTACATAGTAAATATTTATGTGGATGAAAAGGAAAGACTTCCCAAGGTTTTGCTATGTATTTTTGAATATTACTAAATTATTTCATATTTATGACATGCTGAGTCAAGTATTATACATTTTTCATAGGTTACTAACTAAATATTGGTGTTCTATACTATAAACAGTATACTAAATTTTCTATGATAATTTTATGGAGCCCTTTAAGATATTAAGATTATGCCAACAAATACAACAAATTAGTTTAATAAATTTAATTTCCTTTAATGTTTTTATTTATTTATGCCTATGCTAATTTGCTAGAAAATTTAATAGTACTCATAAACCAGAACATATGATACATATAAATCATTTATTAAATTATAAAATTAATAGTTATTTCTATTTATTTATTCATTCATCATTCATTTATTCATTTATTATTTATTTGCTGCCTTTCCAAAAAGCATCTGAGGCAACTTTCTATGATGTTATTAATGGTTCCATGTGTTTCTTTGGATGTCTTTTATTGTAATTGAGCTTAGCTATTGTCTTGAAATTTTGTTATCAGAGAGAAACACAACATTGTAAAATGTCAGTTCAAACAACCATTTTTATGATCTAGATTAATGACAGAATAAGTAAGTATTTCCATTGGGAGAAAAATAAAGAGTAGGATTTACTGAAATCTACTATGTACCTGGTGCCATGAGGTACTTTACATTTTTTCTCACAGCTGTCAACAAAACCCTCAAAGAAACTATTGCCATTGTGTGGTTGAGGAACCCAAGGCTCATGTGTCACACAAAGGAACTCACATGTATTTTTACTTTTTTAGTTTTGCATCCTGTGTACCTAGCACAGTGCAGGTACAATTTAAATATGCCTTTGCTTGGTACCCAAACCCATGTTCTTTCTGTTATATGATGACACCTTCTCAAATATTTGTAAAACATGACATTCTCATAGACCATGAATCCTAAGAGTTGATAAAGTTCTTTTGTGTACATTATTCACTTACATCATCTTCAAAACAATCCAGAGAGTACATATTATGGTATGGAGAAAGAACAGACTCATTCCAAATGTATCAAGCCCCTGTCATTCCCGAAGTGCTATAGTATAAAACTCTCTTGGTTAGTGGAGCTTAATGAATGCTAGTAATTACCTTGTGCTTTTTCAGATCCATTTGCACTTCTGAGCACTCAGTATCACCAAGAAACATGTTTGGCAGCAGTGAAAGGCTAAAGGTTAGAAACCCAAGAAAATCATACATTAATCACTCAAGCCATAGTGCCAGAGACAAGCAGGGCTGAAGAAGAAATCACTAGCCTTCTTGACTCCCTGTCTGCGGGTGTCTGACTGGCATTGTAAATAGTGAGGTCACTTCTACACCAGAGAAACTAATCATTTTCTCTTTTTGCTTTTTTTCATTTTTAATTTGTACCACCATACTAGTATACCATAATATCTGCTGCTTTTTTGGCTTATTGAGTCCTAATATAAATTAATTAAAGTTTCATGAGAAAGGAGGCTGAAATGGAAATACATATACTAAATAATATTTTCATAAAATTTTGCCTGAAGCCAAAGGATCTCACATCGGTTTGTTTAATGAATCAGTTCATTGGTACTTGTCCCATCACCTTTTGCGTTAGAGAGATTTAGATAGCAATGTTTACACCTAAACTGTTTCTAAATTTCTAATGTCCTTCCTCACTATATTTATGCAGATGACTCAGGATCAGATAGTACCAACATTTGCTATGCATTTATTCACCCGAGTGCCAAAGGTCATTTACTTGATGCCAATTTTTTTTTCCTGCT